GAGCGATTTTGCCATAGCCTAAACGCTTTGCGTGGCCTAGTTCGGCTAATTAAACTGACGTTTAGCCAGGCCTCGCTTAGGCTATTCCGCTCACTTTTTTTGCAAGTCATATAGTATATTCGCCAAACTCAAGTCGATCTCTGGCACCAACAACACCGCCCCCGCCCGCCCCCTGCAGAATGTAGCCTAGCAGGCACGGCAATTAGACAGGTTGGCGAGCTGCGCAGCAGCGTTGGCGATAACACAAATCATGTTACCAATTAGCCACCCCTTCGTTATGGCCACATCGCATCAGCTGTGCGGCGCGGATACGTTTCATGCTGCGAGAGCCGAGGGCGGCAACCTGTTATATCTCACCTGTTGGCTGTTACCTGTTAGCTCCTGAGTGCTGTTTACACAAGCCAAGCTAATGATGGCCAATGCAAATATGGCACAGAAACCAACCCGCAGGCCCACTCCCCCAGCCCCAAGCGACCTTAGCGACTGCTGCGAATCGTTGCGTGAAAATACCCTGCAATGCCGTCCGTACGCCATGCTTGACTAGAAATCTAGCTTATGATGGATGAAATCTATGATATGTAATCTACAAATTATACATATTGCTGTTTTGGATTGCCATTATTCTTCTGCAATGCATACCACATCTACACTGATTACAGGGTATTTGGCACTTTGGCTCCTTCGTTATTTTGATTGACCTATTGAGTTTCCCTTAATTAAACCAGATTATTAATCTTATTGTGCAGTGCTCGATCGTAATCGAATTCTGCTCTATTTGGTTGCCCCTAATTGACTGTCAAATGAGGCGTGGTAATCAGGATATACAACACGTATATCCTGTCGCTTCCATGTTTCACTGACCCACCCACTCTTACCTGTCCCTCTGATCTTCCCATTAGAAAATCTTTAACGAAATTTTGTAAATCAATTTGTTGTTTGTTGGCCCTTTGAAAAGGAGCGGACATTCAGTTGCCGAGGGGGGCGGTGAGTGGGCGTGGCACACATCGATTGGCGTTGCTTTATCGGCTGTCATTGCTACTGCGATTTCCCACAGTTTTCAATCAACATTTAATGCCGTGATTTGTTTTGTTTTTGTATTCGATTTTTATTGATTTATATGATATTCGACCTTCGATTTGTTTCATTTGTCTTGTCCCAAACGGCCGTATACTTAATAATAGTGTTCCATCGATGCCCCCCAGTTGGTCGCAAAGTGTGAATGCGAGCTCTGTCGCAGCTTGGGGCATATTCAGATTGTCACTTTCAGCCATCGGACTTACATTCATTTCGCAGGGCATTAAATCAATCTGTTTATCATTTGCTTCCTTCCCTTGTTGTTACCTTGAACTTTACTTTAAATATGTATGTATGTATGTATTTGAATACATATACGTATAGACCGTCATCAGTGTGCTGGCTTCTGGACCTTGCTCTTCATTGGAATCCGAAGTCTCTGTGTGAACTGTGTGTCTATTGGCTTTTTCAGCCTGCGACCTTTGATATTTGTGGGCTGGGGGCAGGGGCTACACCCGAAACTTTACATAAATTATACGGCTGTAAAAATAATCTATCTGCTAATTGAATTGCTACAACGTGTCGCCGGACATTGTGCTGGACGTTATAATGCCATTTGCATAAATCAATTTGGCTTTTTGTGTGCCTAACTGATTTTTAATAAGCCCCGCATATCTATCTGGCCTTATCATAATGTGAATCTCTATTTATTAGCTTAATTGCGAGTATATCGGTTTTCATTAGCAATCTGCTGAGACTTGGATTCGATCGGCGAATCGCCTCAGCTGAGAGAGCATTGAGCAGTCGGCTATGCACGACTGGCCTATTCTTGCTCGGCTGCAGGAAATGGCATCGATATTGCCTCTGCCAGATAGTGCTTAGCTCAAGTCCAGCGATTCGCTGTTTTGTTTGGGCAAAAACTCGTCCAGTGCGGAAGCCAGCGAGCGATTCGTAATTTATATCAATTCAAAGACCATAACACAATTGATGATAGAGACGCAGTGGGACGCTTTATTTAACGCTTGTGCGTCTCGATTCGTGGATCGCTCGAAACAATATAATATATACAGCTGGATATTTATGGATATTTATATTTATATTGTAGTAGGCTGGCAGTGCTTGGCTCAAAGCAAATACCAAAAGGTATCAAAGCTGTTTCTATAATCAGCTTATGACAACAGAAATCTAAAGGAAAATTTATTAAAATAGCAAATGTATTAGAAGTTCGAAAAGGAATGGAAATTCATATAAATATTTGCAGCTAAAATAAAAAAATAATATTAAATTAAACACAATAATTTAAATAAATTTTATTTTTGTTTTTTAAGACGAAATAAAATAAGTAAATTACAATGAAAGAAATAAAATAAAATAGTACAAATATATAAATTAATTAATTGAATAATAAAACATACATAAATTAATTTAAATAATTAAAAAATGGATAATTCAAATATTTAAAAAAATAATTAATTAAGTCCTAAAATATAATATTGAGTTTATTTAACGAGAGTGAAAATTAAATAAATTAACAGAAATAAATTATAATTGAATTCCAATCAAGTTTGCAAGCGAATCAAATATATTCAATCGAGTCTGAGGCACAGTCACAATGGCTACTTTATGAACAGCCCTCGCTTGCAGTGCAGTGTAATGCGATTGCCTGGAGCAGAAACTGGGCATAGAACTGTGGCGCGGACAGCAAAAACAAAATGCGTATGCACATAAATTTTTCTGCTAAACGCACAACAAAACGAATGCAAACAGCAACTACACACGCACACACACACACACACACACACACACACACACAGAGACGCACAATGAGCGCTGCTCCAGCAGGCAGATAGCCGTCCGGACTGTAAGCCCCGATATCATTTATCATACTAATGCCTGCACAATTGAATATCGAGGCGGCGGAGAGCAAGTGGAAGAGCGAGTCGCGCTTCTTGACACGCATCAACAGCTACGAGCTTCAATTGTGAATCTGTGAATGCGAATGTGAATGCGAATGCCAGTGTGAGTGTGAGTGCGAGTGTGATTGTGAGTGTGTGCAAATGCTGACGACTGAGAACAAAACCTGTCAAAAGCTTTGCGCTTTGCTGATATTTAATCTAAATTTATATTGACAATGTTTTCCAGGGGCCATTCACACTTGCCCAACTCTATGTGCGTGCCTGTGTGTGTGTGTGCGTGTGCGTGTGTTTAGCTGTTAGTGCAGGTACTCAGCGTACCTGTCGCCTGCCTCCCGCTGCTTATCTAAATATCAATTGAAACTAGTTTGAGGGGCAAATCAAAAGAATCACAGAAGGAATTGAGGCACGCAGCGGGACAGGCGATTTGTTTATAAAAATATTTGTGTTTCGCATTCACAAAGGGAAAAATTGCAATTGCAAATCCAATGAGTGTTCGAGTGGGTGTGTGGGTGTGCTTGTGCGCTTGACTTTGTAATGACTTGTAATGATGCGCGATAACAATAAGCAGCGACAACAGCGGCTGCAATTCGTAGAGTTCAGGGTAAACAAGTGTCGAGTCGGGTCAAGAGTCGAGTGGAAGAAGAGCCCTGAGCTAGGCTCTATCTGTTGGCGTTCCAAATGATATCGGAAGAGCCTACCAGCTGATTATTAATTATCAATTATTAAATCAAATAGGCGTACAGTGAATAAACGATAAGAGAAATAAACAAATGCGGATTGCGAATTCCCAATCGAGGAAGAGATAAGAGGATGGGGGAACCAAGCATTTGCTTTCAGATTATTAAAATTTATATACGCAGAACCCATTTGAAAAAGGGTATATTAGCTTTTGTGAGAATGGCAGAAGGAGGCGTGGCAGACCCCATATATATATATATATATATATATATATATATATATATTCTCTATCAGGACTGTCTTTCCGTCCGAATAAAAGCCGAGATCTCTGAAGATAAAAAAGCTAGAGACTTGAAATTTGACATGTGTACTCGGGTATACCATACGCAGTTTATGTTTCTCATATGTTTTCGATAAGTCATCCTATGTCTTTTGTATCGGTAATAATCGATAAATTTATGTAGATTATTAAGCCTAATTGGAATGCTGTTTGAGCTAGAGTCTTCAGATTTACTGTATGGATGCATTTGGCGAATAGAAAGATCTTGTCATTTACAGATTTTGGATACCACGCCCCCTTCCCCTCATATTTGAAAAAAACCGTATTTAAAACACTAGAGACTTGTGGTTAGGCAAATATATACACTTTTGAACTTTACTTTTGGCAGAGTGCATGCATATGTGTGCGTGTGTGAATACATGCGCATGTATGTGTGCATAAAGGAATCGTAGAATGATTGGAGTATCAACTCTTTGCAGCGTTCAGGGTATCTCCTAGTCGAGCAGTCTCCACTAGAACACTCTTGTATTTTATTTGCATTTAATTCCCCAGCCTTTTGTTCGATGCAATGCCAGTTTGTGCCTTTTGTGCTTGAACTTTTATGGGCAGCTGTAACTGGCAGTGGCATGGAGTGGAAATTACGCACTCAATGTAATAATATAATGAGCGATTCACTTTAATCTGCCGCCGCCGCTGCTGTGTGAATTCCACAACAATCATTGCCAAAAGATTTGCCTATCGGTGTGGCAATTGCTCATGCGTTGCATTCATGCCAATCAGCGTCGCCAATCCTCGTCATCAAGAGCGTCATCATCATCATCATCATCAGTGTCGTTCTCATTATGAATTGCTCATTAATTGGCTGTTTGCCTTTGTTTTTGCCTGACTGCCACTTGGGTGGTATTTGCGAAAGGCGGCCAGTTGACTGATCCATTTGAGCTGTGAACAATTATTGTTGTTATTGCATTGATTTATATATATGTATACATATGTAACGCTGCTCAACTGATATCAGCAGCAGCCCAGCTGTCAGCCGCTTGACGGGCTAAGTTCAATTTGTTTCAGTTTAGCGATTGCAATTCTCGAGTTTCGCATTTTACAAAAGCCAACAGTAAACTCGAGCGGAAAAAGAGATGAAAATTTGAGCTCATTTTTAGGCCATTGGCCCTGGAATTGACGGAATATGCTTTGCATTGGCTGTCCTTTCAAAGCGCTAAGCTGCTGTCATCTTAACGTGGCCAATGAACGAATCAGCCGCTTGGTGCGCTCGAATCGACCAGGCCAGATAGCGACGATGCCTTGACTTCAGCTCCAGCTTAAGCTGCCGATCATGATGATTCCCTCAATACGTGCAACAATAATTCCATTTCATTTAGATATGAATCTGTGAGGGGAGTTCCCTTTGACTAGCTCGTAAGGGTATTGAGCAGTCGGCTATCGACTTGCTCATGCTCAGCGTCTATTATTATGCACCTCAGTCTGGATTTGCTCAGTGCAGTTGGTCTCGTTGACACATGAAATCGTTGCACATTCCTCTGCGACTGCCTTGCGTGCGCCTGTCTGGAAGGGTATGCCCAAGGCATATATGTAAAGCTGAGCAGCTTGTCAATCATCTATCTATAATATAGATAGATATAGACTTTACATTCAGATAATCTTCAATATTTTCACAGTTTTCATGTGAAACAAGTTCCTTAAGAAAAACTTTCCTCTCTGCTCTTGACCTCAATTGTTTTGCAAGGGTATTTCGAGTTCTGTTCTAGCGCTGCGCTGCCTGCGGCATGCCATCTCCTCCTTCTCCTGCTGCTGCTGGCATCACGTCATTAAAGTCGTTGTCGTTGTCGTCGCTTTGTCGCCGGCATTTGGATTTAGGCGCTATTGCTGCAATTTAGCAGGAAAACTCTTGAGCCCAGCGACAGCAGGAGCAGCAGCAGCAACTCATTTTCATTTACATTTTGATGCCCATGCTCCGAGTGCATTCCTCGGCTGGGGTTCATTGCCAGCAGCCCACAACGAGGGCTTCAATGGCGCTGACTCCGAGTCTCGATGGGAGCGGGAATCGTTCGGCCAAATGGGCAGGTTTTGCCCATGCATATTGTATCGCATATTGATTTGTAATTTACGCGTCGGCCTCATTTTGTGTTGGCCTTTTCCATATTCTCCACTTACAGTTCCACATCCACTTCCACTTCCAATTCCACTTCCATGTCCCAGTGCAAGTCCATTTCCATTTCCATTGCCATTGTCATTGTCGTGTCCATTTCTATTTCTATTTTTATTTTTATGAGCGTTTTGCTCTTTTCACTTTTCTTTCGACTAAGTTATTAGCCTAGCACCCAGCCCCCTGTTTGCTCGCTCCGAAGTCTGTACTAAGTCGCTGTCCAACAATTAGTTAGTCGACGTCTGCTGCTGTTGCTGTTGGCTCGTAATAACATTCGCATTTTGTATTTCTATTGGTATTGTTTTCTCGAATGCTTTTCACTTTTCAATGGGCCGCCGTGCTTGGGCCGTGGGCCATGCCCACACGCAGCTCTGGGCGCCTTTTACTTTTACTTTCTACTTCCCAATCAGAATAGCCCAGTGCAGTTAGACCAGTACCCAATAGAGAGAGACAGAGAGATAGAGAGAGAGTGGCTAGAAAGGGCATCTTTATGTGAACCCTACTTTGGCAATCCTGTGAATGGAATGGCTGCTCTTCCACTCGATCTAGTCGGCGAATCATATGTATTCTAAAGGCCACATCCATCTGAATCATGTTTGTCTTTGTTTTATAAATGGAATTCAAATTTACTCCCAGTGAGTTTATCTAGCTGAGTTAGTAATAATAATAAACGTAGTATTTCTCTTCCGCTTCGCGTAATATTTGCCCAGCTCTTGCAGTCGGCAAATCATACACACATACGTATACGTATTCTTATCTAATCTCGTAATTAAATCTATAAACTGTAATAATCTTATTTCTTTCTTTGTCTTTGCTCTCTTTGCAGGTAAGCATTTGACAGGCAATTATAAGAGCTCTTCTTGCGCTAGGAGTGGACAACGCTGGCGGTCAAGTTATCTGCGCTGCTGGTCAAAGATCTCCAGTCCTCCTCCTCCTCCTCTTCTTCTGCTTCTTCTTCTTCTTGTTCTTGTCAGCGTGAGTCATGTCGTGCGAGATCTTAATGTTATATATCAACAGAAGCAGCAACAGCAACAGAATAAGAATCAGAATAAGCATAATACGAATAACAAGAACTGTATCTGGTTTTGTATATTCGGCATATGCATATGTCTCTGTCTCTATCTGCGGCTGCCAAAACTAACTGCGCTGCATCGCGCTTCGCTGTTTGCCATTCGCCATGACTCACTGTACCGGCTGCTTAGTACACTCGTGCGTGTGTGTGTGTGTGTGTGTGTGTGTTGGTATTTATTGCTCGGCAGAACATGGGCAAGCTAAAATTATCACACAAACATCTCACGACTGACTCATCCTCATCTCTAGGGATGCAGCAAAGAGCCGGCTAACACGGGCTAAATGACAAATGGACAGACAGACAGACAGTCCGATAGACTGACTGCTTGTCCGTTCGCCTAGCCCAGGCTATATGAGGCAAATAGAGGCATAGATGCTCATTTGGCAAATAATAGATGTAAACAGTGGCCACTCAAAGTATTCGTACTCAATTGGCAATCGGCAATTGCCTTTCACTTTTGCATTATCACAAAACTGTTGACGATTAATAAGCCAAAGATGTAAGACACAAGTGAAGCTCGGTCAATCAACCTGCTGACCAAGTGTTAAGTGTTCAGATCTCTGATCGATGTTCGATGATCTCTGATCGGTGATCGGCTCTGTGTGTGGCCGGCCAATGGCCAATCGGCAATGTCAAAGCCCAATTTGTATATTCGACTCCAATTGGAATGCGAGTTGCTTGTTGTGTAATCTCTGCTCCCTCTGTTTGCCTTTCGACTTTTCAACTCGCGCGCGGTTCATTGGCCGACTGACTCGGTGCAGCCTATGTACATAATCGCTTGCCAACATCTTAATTTGGCCCGTGCGATTGCTGCTGTGAAGCTGGCCAACACTCTGCAATGGCAACGTTCTGCGACAACCTTGCTGCCACCCCACCCACTGCGAAAGAGAGAGGTAGAGAGGGAGAGCGAGAGCAGGAGCGAGCGATAATCGAAGGTCTATCTCCGGTCCGAGTGTCGTCATCGGTGACATCGGCAATCGATCTTATCAGCAGTTCGAGGGGCAGTTCGACGCACCAAAAATCGAAAGACCAACAGCAACGTGAAATCATTATTTAAATACAAAAACGTGTTCATAATTTGTCAAACAAGACAACGGGCAGCGGACAGCGGACAGCGGACAGTGACAGCAACAGCGACAAGCAAGTTCACAGTATGTTCATTAACAATGCTCGACCGAGACATGCCCTCTAATTCCACTCTCTTAGCGCTTTACATATGTTTTCATGTTTACGCTTAAAAGGCAGTAAACATAAGTTTTTAACATTTATTTTAATGGGCTGAAGTATTACAATTTTATTTAAAGAAATATTTTAGATATTGATAATGTGATACGGTTAAATTAATGTTGGAGTTTGTCTTTCAATAATCCTAATCATTTTCCATAGTTTCGACAGTGGTCAAATTGTTGTCCGAGTGAGCTTCTTTTATTCTCAAATTCTCACTCCTGGAGAGAGATACAAAAAGAGCGAGAGAGACAAATATATCTATTGCTGAACTTAGTCCCCAATCTTGCTGAGCGAGAGCGAGCTGGCTATATAGGGCATTAAGACAGGGTCGTTATGTCAGTGGACAAAGGAAATCCGATTAGTAATTGACGTTGTTAAAGTTGTTGAAAGATGAAATTATTACGCAAAGTGAACAATTATAAACAAACAAATATGTATACACATATATTTAACGATTATCTACAAGCAAATATACATATGTATATGAGCAAGCATTTAACATAAATAACATTAACATTTGCCAGTAACTATTTAACATCTATGTTAAATTATATCTTTGCATCAATGTTGCATCTTTGAATAACATTCATGCTAAGCATGTTAAGCTAATGTTAAATATTTATTCCTTCTCTACTTGGATTTCTCGATTAATTTCATGAGCAAATCGAAATTAGATCTAATTGAGCGACGTTTCATATTTTGTATTATATGCATATGCTATCTATGTATATATTTTGACTTATTTTTCATCACGGCCTGGCACCTGTGTGGCCTGGCACCGCTTCATAGGAATCAGTCGATGGCTCTGCAGTTGCCAGAGCCCTCTGAACATGGGTTTCGCATCGCAGACTAGCACTGTTTTCATGAGCACACCTATGTATGTATATAGTATATAATTGTTTTATATATAGCAATTGCCATTTGAGACTCGGCGCCCGCATAGAAATAGAACGCAAACAAGTTCAGCTAAGCATTGAAGAGCATTGATTTTAGTTGTTTTGCTTTTCGGTCTTGTCAAAATGCTCATTTGATTGGCAGGACGCAGAGGCGCAGTGGGGTTCGTGTCCGGGTGTTTGCCAATAGTTTCGCCTTTGCAGCGCCCAAGAGCTAATTGGATGTTTGTCATGCCATGAACCTGGCATCCGTCGTCCAGCCGCATCGCATGGACATCAGCCGCGCCACTTGACCAATTGACTAGTTGACCGGTTGACCAGACTTCGGCTCCAACCATGACGGCTCTGATGGATTTGTGTGTCTGTTTTCGTTTTAGTTTTTGGTTTTATTTTTGTCTCTTTTTTTGGCTGAAATGCGTTCGATGTTGTTTTTGCCTTGAACCTACGAAAGTTTGTTGCCAGCTGCCAAAAACGGATTTGAATTCGTGTTGTTGTTGAATCTTTAATTCCGGAAGCTTAGCCAATTGCTGTAGTTGTTGTTGTTGTTGCTGGTGTTGTTGCTGGTGTTGCTTTTGCTCTTATATTAAATTCATTTGAATGGCCCACAACAACAACAAGAACCACAGAAACAACAGCGAGTCGTTTATTTGCTTATTCGCATATGTGTGTCTGAGTGCGCGATCGTCAAGAGTTCAGCATCTCTCAATTTGGAACTTTGGTGGTGCAGTCGGTGGTGCGGCAACAGCTGCCCGTGCACCGCTCAATTGGCG